AGTCCACATCAAAAGTCGTTGCAGGACCTCTCCGGCTTATTCACCACGTCCTCCTCCTCCTCTTCATCCTCCTCGTCAATTGTGTCGGCATCGGCACCATCACTCGAGGAATCGTCGTCTTCGTTGTTATCACTCCCTCTGCGTGTTGTCTCTGAGTCGGCCTGCGATCCCACCTTCGCCCTTCCTGCCGTCGCTCCCTCCTCATCGGAGACAAGTCGCAGAACGGCATCCAACGACTGCCGCACCGCCTCACGCAGTTGCTCCTTCTCAGTTTTTGACAGCGTCGTTCGCACCTCTCCAAGGGCATCCACGCAACGCTCCAGAGTACAGAAGTCCGCCTCCCTACATGCCCACAAGATGAGGCCCAAAAGTCGCTCAGGGTCCCGCATGTCATTCAGAAGGATAGCGTCCCTCACCCACTTCATTTCACCAGAAGTGACAGCAACAAGCGCCTGTAGTTGCTCACGTATCTCAGAGTCGTTCCACATCAAGACAACCGAAAGTAGTTTCTTGAAAAAGTTCAAATTCGCTTCTCCCTCATCTTTTTCTTCTTCCGCTAATTCTCCTTCCTTCCGCATGCTGGCGTCCATTCGGATGGCGTCCACCAGGTCTTTAGCAACCTGCAACCGCACCGCCCTTGTCGGGGTAAACGGTGCCTGGCGGTCAGTGCCACTACCGTTTGGGTTCGCACACGCATGCAACAAGATTGATAATGGCTCCCAGAGTCTGTTGTGCAGGTACTTTGTGATTAGCAGTTCCGCCACCTGCGAGGCCCCGGGAAGGGCAGCAACAACGCCCACAATCCCCGCCTGAAGCAGCTCAAACCTTCTCTGGAGTGCGTCGTCCGCATCATTCGGAAGAACTTGACGGAACGCATTAGGGTGACCACACAATACATTAAGACACTCACAAAAAAGACCCTCGTGGCGAGCAGCCCGTCGCATACTTGACGCAACAATCGACACGGTGGCATCTAAGCGGCGGGCTCCCTCGGGCGCTGTTCGCATCAACGCAGCCAGTGTGGTGAGGATACGGTGAAAAAGCTTGACGCCGTCGTGCTCATGTCCTTCGCCTCGCGCCGCAGCGCGAACGCACAGAAGCTCCCACACCTGCAAAAGAGAAGATAGCACCAATCGCCACTCCTGGGAACTTGCGTCGCCAAGAGACTCTAGTTTTTGCACAAGCGTCTCACCAAACTCAGCAGCCGTGTCCACGCAGCGTGGGTCACGCGTGAGGGGCACCAGCAACGGAACGAGAGAGGGGTAAATGACTTCCATCGCCTCCGGGTCTCGACACTCTGTGCAGCTCCAAATAACATCCCGCAGAAAATCATCTTCAAAGTAGTCAATAGCAGTTCCAGATGTCTCGCTACACCACAAAAGCAAAAGCTCCCAGGCTCGCCGAATTACCACAACCGCATCGTCAAATATAGCGTTGTGAAGAGCAATAGAGACGCAGCGGTAAAGTTTTGGTGTCATGAGTTTTGCCTCTAAGATATCACGCAACAATAAGAGCGACGCTGAACGCACAACGGGTGTCCTCATCGCAAGATTGTTCTTCGCATTGCCTTCTCGCACAGGCAAAATGGGTTGTAGTGACTGTGCTTCCACAAACGAAATGATTTTCTCGCGCGCTAGCACGGGTTGCCGCATCATGTATCCCATAGTACATACAGACGAATACAGTGTGTTGGATCGTCGGTCCAAATTATCGTCTTGGAGCGGCTTCCCTCTACTCTGTTCAATCACAGTTTGAAACGTTTCAATGAGGCCCTCCACAACGTTATCGGCAATCCCATGTAACATCTCAGGAGTGACGACTGCGTTGAATGCCTCACGGGATTCCTTCCGCACGGAGGTCTCCATATCATTCATACGCAACAACCAAACAACGGCAAGCGATGGCAATCCCCGAACCAGTTCTTTTCGCAGGGCCTTCCCCCGTTGAGCTATATTAAGCAAAAGACCAAAAACGCCAGCACGAACAGATGCATTCGGATGCTCAGCGTGGCGTATGACAGACTCAATGATGTTTGGAATGTATGAAATAATTTCTTCCTCCATTACAAGAGTCAATAAACGATTCAATTCTGAAAGAGCTTTGAGCAAAGTTATTTCATTGGTTTTATGCAGGAGCTTCAGATTCATTTCTACCATAGACGCATCTTCTGCCGCACCCTGGGCGGGTATTGACATACCGCCCAAAAAACTCTGAAGACTATCCGGTGTACCACGAGCCGTCACAAAAGACTGCGCGGCACGTCCCTTGGCTGGTCGTGGTGGCATTTATGCTCGCTATTTGTTAATAATATATATGTGTATGTGTATATATAGTTTCCTTGCCTCCTCCCCTCTCCCTCTCTCGGCTTTTAAATATCTTCCTCCCTTAAAAAAATTTTTTTTTTTTTTTTCTCTTCAACTGGTGACCACGACTTCTTCTCTCACCTCGAGCTTCTGTCGATGGGGCAAAAAAGAAGGATGACTTCGATACAATCAAAAACACACGCACACGGAGGGGAGGAGAAATGGAGACGTACGCACATTCGCCGCGTCTCTCTCTCTCTCTCTCTCTGTGTGTGTGTGTGTGGGTGCAGGGAAAGGGAGGGAGGGTACGTGTCTTTTCCTCCTGCAGTGGCGCCATGCACAGTGGGGCAAACGACAACAACGACAAAAAAGACGGTCTCAACACAATCATTAAATAAAAGTAATCAAAGAATAATGGTGTCCAATCAATCAATAAACAAACACAAAAAATAAGTGACGCAGCAGGACAAAAAAAAAAAACACAAAAAAACACAAAAAACAAATGAACGCAAAAATGCATCATTTGCTGTAGTAAATGGGAGAAGGAAAACACACGGAAATAAGGAGTAAATTCATCTCACACGCTCCTTCTGTCATTTTGCCCTTCTGTGTGCGCATAACCGTGAAGTGGTCAACGAGATAGGCACGAATAATAATAATAATAATAAAGAGGTGGGTGATAAAGATGGTCTTGGTATGTGTGCAAAAAAAAAAAAAAAAGAGAGAAAGAGAGAGAGGAAAGGCTCACCGCCACCACATACATTTGAGCCCATCATCTACAAATTCAAAACCAGGGCATTAGACGAATGTTTCTCGTGCGTTTTTCCACGACTTTAAGTGGATAGACCGGGTGGACCCACATGCGTCGCCATGACATTGCCACCAACGTCCCATTTCCCTCCTCCCTCTCCCTTTCTCTCTGTTGTTAATTTCCTACTGAGCACACACCCACATGTTTATATGTTTATTTGTTAAAATGTGTTTACATCATCACACACGTGCTTCTCTCTAACCCTTACTTTCTACGGGGTTCTCATCTCTCCCTCCCCTCCACCTTGGAATTTCTAAAACAATTCATTTTAATTCTTCTGTTTCATTTTCTTTCCAAAGAATTATATCCACAGTGAGCCGGAAACTGTGTGTGCGTGCGCAGAGGCCTGGGAGGGGCTGTGAGGTAGAGCGAAAAACATCCGCTCTTGCGGTATTTTTTTTGTTTTCTCTTCTTTTTTTCCTTACCTCCATGCCCTCTCAGTCATTTTCTATCAATCTATGATTCCCCTCCCCCACTCCCTCATGTGCACACGCACAGGCAACTCCTCTATGAATATGCCAACAAAAACAGTCTTCCTCCACTTCGCTCTCAAAATCTATGCGTACACCCATGCACATGTATACGTCTGTGTACGACGCCGTGCGTGAAATTATCTCACTCCACTGTCCATCACCGTACCTTTTCTCTCCCTTTTTATGCAAGAAAGGCCTGCGGGTAATTTCCACAGACAAATACACACACAAATACATACACGTACGTACTATATTGTCCAGTGGCGCATAATGGATTTGTCTAAAGGTTCCCGATGGACACGCGTAAAACGACCATGTGGAGGGATCTTAAGCGGTGCAATATCGCGCAGTGGCAGAGTTTTCCACGCGTCAGGCAGTGTCAGCACTAAAGGACTGCACAATTGGCCATCTGTCGCTAGCCTATACAACGCGTCCTTCACCGGTATGTCCTCCTGACACCCTTTAAGAAGTCGTTCAATGATGTAGTACACATTGACTAGTGTCGCGTCCTCCTCGCTACGGGATCCATAAAAGTCATCCGCAAGAAGACTGTTTCGTGGGTTGAGCTTGCAGCAGTTTGCTGCATTATCAACGATAAGTAGACGGTCCATTTCACGTCCCAACAGACGTAGATCTTTGGTATGAAGCGGCTCCGTGAACCACATATCATTGCGGTATATCACTTCATCAAAAACGGGTCCCCTTTCATTCAATTGCTCCACCACTGGCAACGCCGTTTCCTTCTTTGACGCTGTCCACAAGACGACCTCCAAGCCTTTCATGTGGCGAAGGGCATTGAGGAAATGCAGGCAGTACGGGCGTAGAATGGCAGCCGACAGGGCTCCATTACGGTTACTAACAAGCGTCTCGTCAAGATCTAGAACAACCGTCAGCGTCGGACATGTCTCGTGCGCCTCAAATTGGGGAAGCAAAAAACTTTGAAAAAGCGGTTTTGCCAAAGTGCCAAACCGTTCACGGAGATCAAGTGCACAACGAAGTTCTGCGGAGAGGGCTGCAGCATGCAGACGGCGGCGGCGGGTGCTGGGAGAAGAAGGACTGCGGAACGAGGCTGAGCGGGACAAGGTCATCGTGTTGGGACCACGCGTCGACGACTCCGTCAACCCGCTACTGTTTCCAGTGGACGGGGTATATTGACTGGACGCGGTCGCCGCTCGGTCTTTGGGGGATGAGACTGCTTTTGCATCTAATAGCGCTCCCGATGAGCGGAGTTGACTGTACCAATATGACTTGATCATGCTCGTGTTTTGGCGGCGGTGGAGTGTGTCCATGAGCCGTCCCTCTATTGGGGAATA